GTATTGGTACGATAATCCGACAGCTAGGTATCATTCACGAATGCTACTTCCTGAGTGCTGTCACACAGTCACAGTGCCTGTGTTCGTCAGCTCACTTGATGCCACTCCGGCACCACCTTTAAGATACTGTTGTCGTGCACACCAGTCACTCAGGGCCGCGAAGTATAAAGACGATGCTCGTCGTGCAGGATCGAAGACAACGAACGACCCATCTGACGCCATGCTACTGTACGTCGCTTGAGGGTAACTGCAGGAAGGAACGGGAGCTCTCTCCCAGCAAATTCTGTCGCGTGGTCCACGTGTCGGCAGCGTTCGTCAACGTGTGCTTTTCGGTCTACTCGAACAAAGGCGATACATGTGGCCGGCCACGTCGTGGATCCGTCGATGTTCGCATATCTCTGTCAAACGTCAGCTAGAAGACTGCCACAAAGGCCCGTCAACCTCCTCCCGGAATACGTGAGTCCTGGCCACGAAAAAGCTGAGCTCGACGACATGTGCTAAGGCCTCATCAACGCGTTAGTGACAGTTATCGGAGGTAGAGGCGATTAAGAGCTGCATGCTCCATCGGTGTCGAGCTGCGTATTGGATCGAAGATGGGAAGTATTTGATGCGAGCGGATTTCCAATAGATCCGCAAGCAAGCCTAAAGTGATGATGTGTATTAATCGGGCATATAGGCACCAAGGAAGAGATGTGGCGAGAGTGGCTAGCAAACCACGAGAGGATACACCACTGATATGGTGGTGGGTAGCCGAGTTGTGATACCGGCCACGACCGAGGTTGTACCTCGAAAGGTGTGTTCCCGACCTCATTTCTCGCCCTTGCACAAGTATTCTCAAAGTCTTCTTGATATCCTTGATTTTGGTTCCAAGTGGTGAAGATGCCTTACTTTTCATATGTCATTGAACGATAGCATTGCATTTGTGTACAGCTGATTGGCTGTATTTTCTTCGTCTGGCACGTGTCGGGAAAGGAATCTTCGTGCCATATCAGCGGTATCACTCAACTCCATTGTCATCGCAGTGCGTGTTTTCATCTTCCACTGTCCCGAACTGCCCTCATCGCGAATTCGCACTGGTACCCACGACAGATCAGGTCCCGAATCGAAGTCCATCAAGATGAACGGCGTCACAGCAGGTGGCGGGCTTCCAATCGGCCACCGGCATCGTTCGAGCACAACTGGCTCCTCGAAGAACTATGCGTATGCGAGGGTAAGTCTATCTTTCTTCTCCCTTCGTCGATGATCTCCACTCGAGCGGCGTGGATGTCACGCAGTTCGTCTTCCGACTCTCGCCGACGTCCATGGCCTCGGCTGTCCTTCCTCCCACCAGACGTCATGGTCCTGCTTTTGGCCAGGGAGCACGAGACTTTGGAACAACGCTCTCTCCTGAGGTCACACCACCCCGCACCTTTCCCACCTTCCTGTGCCATTGTTGATCGCTGGCGACTGCATTCATACGAGCGACTGGGACCGCACCTGAACAGCAATATCACCAGCCTGAAACAAGCCGAAATACACTTGATTTGCCGATGAGCTTGCTAGAAGGGCAGGCACCAACACCGAGATCCTACTTGAGCGGCCTCACTTCAGGTCGAGCTGTATTGCTTCCGGCTATTATCTTCGCTACGGACCGATCTTCTCTGTCCACCTTCGCAACACCGGCCTCACATTGATCACACATATCTTTGTCAGACGCTCACTGGAAGCACAACTGCACCTCACTCACATCAGTGGTGATGGCACCCTCCGCAATGCCCACGCCTACCATATCTGGACCGCAGCAGAACGGCGAAGGCGAGGCATACAAGCCGAATATCCGGAAAACACCGCAGGGCGACTTCATGCGGCCAGCAACGAGGACGAGGATGAGCTCGCATTCAAAGAAGACTAACGGAGTTGGGGTACAGGTTGAGGAGACGCGGATATGCGTGGTCATGGTTGGTCTGCCAGCGAGAGGGAAGAGTCTGATAGCACAGAAAGGTGGGTCTGAGCGATACATATATTGATGTATGGGCGAGGCATGCTGATATTTTAGTAAAGTCGTCCGCTATCTCGACTGGCTCAGCATCACTGCGAAATGCTTCAACGTTGGGTCGTACCGCCGCACGGCTACTCCGCAGCCATCTGCATCATTCTTCGACTTCTCCAACGCGGAGGGTGAGCGGTTGCGCAAAGCCGCCGCTGAAGCAGCTGTGACCGATATGTGCAAGTGGTTTCGCTCGCCAGGCCACCTGATCGCCATTCTCGACGCAACGAACAGCACGAAGTCCCGCCGACGCTGGATCAAGGACCGTTGCGACTCCGAGGGAATCGAGACACTGTTTGTAGAGTCAAAATGTGACGACGAGGAGCTAATCATGGCAAACATCATCGAGGTGAAGACGACGAGCCCAGACTACGTTGGTCAAGATCCCGAAGCCGCGGCTAAGGACTTCCGGGAGCGGATCAAGATGTACGAGCGTGTGTACGAGACGCTGGATGAGGACGAGGCCGACATGACATACTGCAAGATCATTGATGTTGGAAGCCAGGTGATTATCAACCGCATACAGGACTACTTGCAGAGTCGGGTTGTGTATTATCTGATGAACCTCCATATCAAGCCGAGGAGTATCTGGATCAGTCGGGTATGTTGAGAAGCTGCATTGTCGAGATGAAGGTACTGATTAGTGTCGCAGCACGGCGAGTCCGAGTACAACCTTTCCGGCCAGATCGGTGGTGATGCGAATCTTTCGGCTCGTGGCGCACAGTACGCCAAGCTTTTACCTGGCTTGGTAAAACAGTCTGCAGGTGATCGACCTCTCACTGTTTGGACCTCCACGCTCAAGCGCACGGCTCAGACGGCTCGCTACTTGCCCTACGAGAAGCTCTCCTGGAAAGCGCTCGATGAGCTGGACTCGGGAGTGTGCGATGGCATGACCTACGCACAGATTGAGGCTAAGTACCCACAAGACTTCGCGGCCCGAGACGAAGACAAGTACAATTACCGTTATCTCGGCGGCGAAAGCTACCGTGACGTGGTCATCCGATTGGAACCCATTATCATGGAGCTCGAACGCTCGGAGAACATCCTGATCGTGACGCACCAGGCGGTACTGAGGTGCATTTACGCCTACTTCATGGGTGTAAGCCAGGAGCAGAGTCCGTGGATGGAAGTACCATTGCACACCTTGATCAAGTTGACACCGAGGGCTTACAAGACCGAGGAGGAGCGTATGCATGCAGACGTACCGGCCGTGAGCACATGGCGTGAGAAGGGCAGTAAGGCGGAGCATGCGCAGACGCCTCAGCCGAGTGCACGAGCGAGCCCCAATATTGGCGCCATGTCGAAGTAAGGGCTTCGTGGAAACGGTGGCCTCGAAGACGGAAGGCGATGATAGAATGAAGAGACGATGACGGGTTGGACGAGACATCAGGCATAGCGACGGCGCTGGCGCTTGGCCTACGAAAGTTTGCATAGACACGGGCAGGCTGCTGGCACCCATTCACTGTTGGTATGTATCGTACATACACATACAACTCTGCACATTAACTATAGCGAGGACGGATCACACATGACCGCCATGCAAACATGGGCCTCTTCTTTGCCAGTTCCTTAACAGACCTGCGGCACATCTATCCAGTCCGACGCTATTATTGCCTTCATCCTTTGACGATGAGTCAAGAAGCACCAAAACGTGGCCCATTGAGAGTATTGGCTGGGACCGTCTTACTGGCGGCCGTGGCCTTGAAAGACCCGCAATTTGGCGAAGATAATCCCGTGACCTTGGAAGTTTATCGCAAAGCTCGCGAGCGAACAGTGCCCTGGCTTGAAGATGTCGAGATGGAGATGCGAGAGCGAGGTGTGTGGGTGGAAGGCGGTAGCGGGCAGGCAGATGCAGACAAGGCGGATCCTAGAATTCGACTCCTGAAAGCCGCGTGGGCATGCATGCGGTCACCTCGCCAAGGGACAAGAAAAGATGTGCTGCTGCAGAGACTCCATGGTACGATCTCTCGCTCTGTTGCCGATACTGACAAAGAGATTGCAAGGCTGGAAGAGCTGCTGGAGGGCGAAGTTGGACGTGGAAGCTCAGGACCTAACCCAGTCGCACCGAACGACGCAACAGACCTGCTGAGCCCGTCCACGAGGCTGCCTGGTAACTCTGAGAGCCGTACCATTCCAAGTCAAGCATCGAGAGATATGGTTGACCACGACTCTGGAGCCCAGCCTACGCATGCTCCAAACCAAGCAACCGGTGTGCAACCAGAGGCTAACAGAGGGCTGCCTCATTCAATTCGCGATCCTGCTCAAAGGTCGAGACAAGCATTCGCCCAAGCGAGAAGTCAGAGCTCTACACGACCTAAGCAGCGTGGACGAGGCAGACCTTCAAATCATGATCAACAGCCACGCTCACAAGCTTCACAGACACGGCCGCGTTCACAACAATGGCGTCTCCCAATAAGGACAGGCCCGCAAGGGAATCGGCACTCAGGCGTTCCACGCACATCTGGTAGCTCTCGGCGTGCACCAGCGCAGAGGAACGCAGCATCAGCTACTGTAATAAGCGCAGTTCACGATGTGCCAACCATTCAGGTCTCTCCGCCTTCGCTACGCGGGCCGAGCACACGTATCGGAGATTCTACACGATCAGGGTGTAAAAATCAGCGGGACCGAGCGATGGGTACGGCCGATCAGCCTACATCGATGTACACTTCTCGGCAGCCGCAACATTCTGCTCCTCGAGGCCTCGAGGTCCCACATGGCCACTCTCCATCACATCCCAGAGCTGAGTACGGCACGACTCCCGAGACGAATTCAGTGTACGCATGGAGGCCACCAGACAATGGTGACGCAGATGATGCTGCTAGCGTTTGGAGCAGGGACACCATAGCCCCTACGATAGCCCCTACGATTCCTGGCGAGGATCCCTATGCAGCAGCGGGCCAAAACGATGCTGCTCAATACCCACACATCGCTGGCAATTCTTGAAAATCAACACAGGATGCAAAAAGAAGAATTGTGGCTCTGCTCCGGATTGAACGGAGGTCTCTCGAACACTGCTGGGCGCGACCCAACTGAACCCTCTTGGACACTGTCCACCGATTCTGAGACCCTCTCGGGCTTTCTCTCTCAATTGTCGAGTATGCTAACCAATTGCACCACAGAGCCATTATTGTATTGAGTTGATATGTACAGACTGATGGAAACATCATTATATACATCCTATGACGGAAGCCGGAAATGTGCCGGTGTCGTTGGTTGTAGGGAAGGCGCTGTGCTCTTATGGTCGGCTTGGCAGGCAAGGACTCTTCGGGTTGACATGAGCAATGTATGGCCTCGCAAGCGTGGACGGTGTAAGCGAGTCCGACTACAGCCTTGAACAACTATGCAATGGACTCCAGGATGTCGCAGTGGCGGTGATGGAGAGAAGGTTCGGTGCAGATCACTCCTTCTAGTCGTACGCACGAGTAGTCTAGGTCACAGGAGTTCGACAAAATACCGTATGCAGTTATGTAGCGGCACATGAAGTAATGCTCCATCACGATCACTCAAGCAACGTTGGAGTCGGACAACTTTGGTGATCGTACCAAATGTGTGTACAAGTTACTCAATAACTCCACGGTCTTATTCTATACTGCTCGTTGTCCTCCGGCTGGCCCGGTTGTGGTACACCCAGATCTCGTTCTTGGAACATTGGCGTCAAGTAGAAGCCCAAGTCGACCTCTCGAGGCTGCTCAGCCAGCTGGTTTTGGCCCCAGCCATTTCCAAGCCATGCCATCTGATTGACGGGAGCACCGTTCGGCTCCGGAACATAATCATATTTGTAGTCTTCCCATCGCGGAGACCGCATAGCCTCGATACAGTGCAAACATGAGCCTGGCCAAAGACCTGTGACGAAGGGACCCGACTTGCCTTGCCCGTCTTTTCGGTACCTAATAAGGTGATTGTTAGCATGACATTGTGGTGCGGTCCGGCAGAGCGTTAGACTTACCAAGATTGACACTCGTCCATGAACACCGTTCCATTGAAGTACGTGTCACAGTACTGCGTGAAGTCCTTCACACGCTCAGGCTTGATCACCATACTCTTGATGTTCTCTTTCTGCAGTTTGCGGATAGCCTTTAGGATGTACGACCCAGTCGTCTCAATCATCATCGTCAGACTGCCTTCGCCGATAGCACCGTTCGGCCCGAGCATGAAGAAGTGGTTCGGGAATCCGTCAGTGGCTAGAGATAGGTAGTTGGTCGCCCGCTTCTGCCAATGTTGTTGCAGCGTGTGGCCGCCAACACCTGCAGTGCGGAAGGGCGGTGCAGCAGAAGCATAGAAGCCGGTAGCGCACACCAACACGTCAATCTCGTGCAGCTTGCCATCTTCTGTCACGATACCTTTGGGTTCTATACGTGTAATCTTCTCACGGATGAAGTTGACGTTGTCTTCCGACAGCGCCTCAAGAAAGCCAGGACCGGGTGTCAGCCGTCGGCAGCCAGGTGAGAAGCCAGGCTTAAGCCAGTCGAAGTACTGCGGCTTCTTCTGCAGACGCGCCTTCATGCCTTCTTCAAACGCTTTCTGAGCTCCGAGTTGCATAGGTGTGCCTTTCAATGTTACAGCGTGGATATTGTTCGAGTCGGCCTCAACCATTAACCGGAATTTGAGCCACTCTTCAGGATCGCTCTTGAGCTTCTCAACAAAGTCATCCGTGAAGGTAAATCTATCACCCATACCCATCTTGTCCTGCACGCCTTGACCCAATGGCGGAGAGATCCAAGTCCGGCTTCGAATGAAGCAGTTCATAGTCGTGCCAGGTACCTTCTGGAGCCTCGGGATGATCTGAATAGCACTACTACCCGATCCAATGACAGCCACGCGCTTGTTGGTGAAGTCATACTTCTCGTTCCATTGCGATGAATGCATTGTCTCGCCTCCAAAGGACCGCAAGCCCTCGATGTCCGGCCATTGCCGGTTGTTGAGATTGCCTCTTGCGCTGACGAGAACATTGCATGTATCCTCGAACACCTCTCCATTCGGCCGCTGAACCTTGACATGCCACAGACCCTCCTCCTCATTCCATGTGCAGTCTTTGACCTCATGCTGAAGCTTGATGAAGCGATCGGCCCCGAACTTCGCTGCGGACTCCTTGATATAGTCACGAATCTCATGCGAGGGTGCGTAGAGCGCTGACCAGTCTACCTTGGGGTTGAAGGAGAATTGGTACGAGTGTGATGGGACATCACAGGCGGCGCCGGGATACTGGTTCTCATACCACGTTCCTCCCACGCCTTCGTTCTTCTCGTACACAACCAGCTCGCAATTGCGTAACCGCTCCGGTATCCGTATCGCACAGTATACGCCTGAGTAACCTGCCCCGATCACAATCACCCTGATGGGTCGCTGGTTCTCAATGGGTGTATCGTGTAATAGCCAGGGCGCCTCTTTAGTGTCGCCGTTCGTATGTGGTTTCCCATTCGTCTGCGTATCAGGTGCGTACTCTACGTGCTCAGAGTGAGTCGCATTGCTCTTGCCATTGGGCAACGCGTGCACATTGCCTGGATCAGCGCGTAGAACATCTTCTGTCAGGTTAGGAAAGGCGGACATGTTTAAGAGACTGGGTGGAAGGTAGCAGAAATTCGAGAGTCAATTCAAGAAACACCTACGTGCTCGCAGCCTTTGTAGGCCTCGTGCCAGAGCTTCGGCAGATAGCAGGATGACCCAGATGGAGTGGTCGATGAGGAGTCTGAGACGCCGAGAAGACTGGCTCCTCACAGCAAGTGGGGCTCCCACTGCTCCACATTGCCACGCTCGTGAGTGTGGGTGAAGAAGTGGAGCATTATTCGGGACGAGTTCGCGGCTGTGGCAGCGAAGACTGATCACGAATGTGCTCGGTGTCGTGGTGGTGACGGGAGTGCGGTCGAGTTGTGTTCGGCAGAGAAAGTTTCAGCATTGCCGAATCGCGGAATCTAGTGTCTCATCTAGCATTATTGGCATGATATTATGGAGGAGCAAAGACGGCAGCATAGTAGGACAGTCGTCAAGCACAATTCAGCTCAGGATATAGATATCCGCGAACGAGTCGATGTGAGTGAGTGGGGTGGAGAGAAAGCGTGCCTTCCTTTTATGGAAACTAGCCCCGCAAAAGCACGCCTGGGTCATGGTAGACGCATGGAAGCTTTCAATACCATATACTGACGGCCACTCAAGGATATCGGGAGCATGTTGTGATTATCGCAAAGCAGGACGCGAGAAGAAAAATAGACGATGATCAAATTTCTGTGAACTGTGTGTTCGTTCTCATGCCCATTGATACAGACGCCAGACCAGATCAACCGGCCAGCAATGCTCGCATACATCTATGTTCATGTCGCCATGCCACACCCACACTGCGATACTGCAATACCAGCAACGCTGTGTGCTGCAACGTCCTTTCACCTCCCTCACACCCTGCAGACTGCAAACCCACTAGTGCTCCAGCAGCCTCAAGCTTCCCTGCACAACCACATTCTCCAACACGGATCCCGGAGGCACATCAATCGTGTTGCCCTCCGAAGCCACGATGATGACGGTACCCTTGAGCACCACACCACGGCCAAGGTTGACCGCACCAGTGATGGTCAGGTGGTCGAGCTCGAGAATCTTCGGGATGGACGGAATGCGGCTCTGGAACTGGGACACCTTCTTGAAGTCGCTGCCGAGCTTGATGAGCGGTGCCGGGCCGAAACGGCTGGGGTCGATCATAAGCTGGCCATGCTTGAGCGTGTAGAGGTCAGACTTGACGAGCATGAGATCGGAGCAGGTCTTGACGGGCAAGAAGCGCCGACGCGGGACGTTGACACCGTGCGCGTTCTTGAAGTGCTTGATGGCCGCGCCGACAGCTGTCTCGAGCTGCACAACGCTGACATCCGTCTCGCCCTTCTTGTCTGCGGGAATGCTCTTGCCGTTCGGGATGATCTCCATCAACAGCTCGTTATTCTCCACCACGCGCTTGACGGCGCGGAGGTTCATCCAGACGTTGTTTGTGTTGAAGTACTTGAACTTCTTGATCGACTTGAACTCATTCACGTACTGCTTCGGTACCTGAGCGATTTCGAGAAGACGAGCCTGGCCCTCGTAGTCGATGATTGTGCCACCCTTGACATCGGCCTTGGTCTTGTCCGTCAGCTCCATGATGTACTCAGCTCTTGTCTCCACCATGTGCTGCAGGATGTTGAGGTCGACAACAGCGCCGAGGTTGTCGGCGTTGGAAAGGAAGAGGATCTCGATGCCGCGATCGAGCAGCTTGTCGAGTATACCTGAGTTGTAGAGCGACTCGAACACGTCACCGTGACCGGGAGGGTACCAGTCGGAGATCTGCGAGTCTGCGCTCTTGGGCGCCGGGAGGAGAGAGTCCTTGAGCACACGCGGGTACTTGGACTGGTTGAAGGTCATGATGTCAATGTTGTGGCCCTCGTACTTCTTGATGATGTTTGCGGTGTCCTTGTCGGTGTTGAACGAGTTCATGAGCACCATTGGGACGTTGACGTCGTATGTGCGGTTGAGGAACTCGATCTGGCGGACTGACAAGTCGAGGAAAGACATGCCATCACGGACCTCGATGACGGACTTGGGGCCAACGCAGCCCATGGATGTACCAAGACCGCCGTTGAGCTTCAGGACTGCGAGCTTACTGAGGAAGTCTACAGACTCGGTGTTGGCGAGGCTGTTGTACTCGACAACCTGCTCAGGCTTAGGAGGTGCGATGCGGTTCCAGTCGATCTCGTTGCTCTTCGCCTTGTCGTTCAGGTAGCGGCGGAAGAGCGAGAAGAAGTTGTCCATCTCAGTCTCGAATCGCTTCTTCTCTGAGGGCTCCGTGACGGTGTCTGCGAGGTCGTTGAGCGCATTGCGCATCTGAGAGGCAGCGACAGAGGTGGAGGTGTTCTCGAAGGCCTGCATAGTGGAGTAATGTTAGCTTGGAGATTGCAACGACAAACCCTTCTGAGTGATATCCTCGGCGTTCCTTGGTCCCCAAACGTATGGCCATGCTTGATCCAGACAACGCAGCCATTTTTCTCGCTCGGACGATGGCATGTCGCAATCGCCGACCCAGTGACCACCAGATGCCCGTTCCACAGTCGCAGTGGCTGCTTCGTGTTCGACAGCTCTTCCTCAGCAGTCAATGCTACTTCCGCAAACATTGC